GGCAAATATATAAATAAGTAAATAAATACACAGCCCACTAAACATTTACAGTATACGTTTACAACGCCAATCTTTAAAAATTCACGATGGTTTGCTAAAAAAAAATCTTTCACCAATGTTTTATCATTTTCATAGCATAAACTAACATTTTGGAGTCCAGACAGAAAACGCAAAAATTATACAGTAAGACATCAATTAAATTTAATAAGAAATAAGGTGCACCACTAACGATAACTATGGTCGTAAATAATGATGTAGTACGTAAAAATGATTCTTACTGCTACCACCGGTTAAAAGGAAAAGTAGCAGTACCAAAAACCAACGTTTACATTTAAGAAAAGAACTATAGTACTTACGACCAATTCGAAAACTGTCCTTCTAATCAAACTGTATTATAGGTGTAAATGAAATGAAAAATGAAATGAAAAATCCTTTATTTTTTCAGGCATAGTTAGGGCCACATGGCCCTTTCTTACACTTAACCTGAAATTAAAAATATAACATAAATAATGCATCATAGGGATAAATCATAGGGGTAAATCCGTTGTCAAATATATAAATAAATAAATACACAGGTCACAAAACATGAAACATGTAACGTTAACAACGTAAAGCTTTTTCACTTGATGTGGTGCAGTACCGAAGTTATTAATCTCCCTGCAACTTTGGTTAAATTTTTTGTTTGTTTTCGAAAACCAAAGTTATTTCCCATTAATGGCATTATTTATAAGTAACTTTTAATGTTAACATATTAATGACAGTTTAAAGAAACCACCTTTATCCTAACAAAGGTTTCTTATTTAAAAGATTAGGTACGTAATCTCTAAACGATAATCGGTACATATATCTAGCAAACATTTGGAGGAAATATGACAAAAAACGCACACATCTGGGTTTTGGACGTTTGTAGTTTTCCTTCCTAAGTAGGAAAAGTACCGATATCGTTGTCGAAATGTAAGTAAGTAGAAACCAAAAGTGACACATTGGAAAAGGGAGTTGCGAGTTTAGCTACATCTGTTAGTTAAACCTCTGTTACGATCACAGCGAAATTAGAAAGATCTTCCAAGATCGCGGTAACATCCACGATCACAGCAACATCCTCGATCACAGCAACATTCACGATCACAGCAACATTCACGATCACAGCAACATCCACGATCACCCATTGCAGTTGTGATTTTTTACTTTGCACTTTACACAACTGTCCTTGAAGCGCCGTCAATGAGTGGAAACCATTTTTGTAAGCTATTGGAGACGATGATTAAAAAAATGTAAATTTCTCAGCACTAATACAACACTGATTCACGGTATTTTCCCCCGTTATCAAAACTCAAAACAATCGAAGGCCAGGATATAACATTTGTGTAGCTCTTATGAAATGGGTGAATCCATCTTCCTTCATCATTTTGACTTCTCCACGATATAGATATTCTATGTACTTCGATCTTACTCCAGTTCTTAGAGTACGTTTCACAGCTCTCCACGAACTTTCTATAGGCCTAGTCTGTTTGTGTAGCTCTTATGAAATGGGTGAATCCATCTTCCTTCATCATTTTGACTTCTCCACGATATAGATATTCTATGTACTTCGATCTTACTCCAGTTCTTAGAGTACGTTTCACAGCTCTCCACGAACTTTCTATAGTCTGGGTATTTAGCCCTAGATAACGGATCTACGAAATTCTTACTGTGGTTTACTGTGAAGTGAACATAGCCTCTCTCAGTGAAACCAAAGTAAGACTTCTATAGATCCGTTACAATCGTAGTTCCAGGCAAAACATGTTTCAGTATCAGGGGAATGAGTGTTTTACCACCTCAAACTTTGCCATCAGGTTTTATTTCCATCGTACCGAGAATCCAGGTTCCGTCGACGAGTCTCCCACGGTTATATTTCCTCTTACACTCGTCTATTTCTTCGACGACACCTGGACCTCCCAACTTAGTTACATTAGAAAACTTGTCTTCTATAAAGTTTATGCAAACCTCACGACAGTAACCGATCCAGTCTGCTATTGTCTGGCTTGAGGCGTCACATGTGTAATCAGAACATTCTGTCTTAAATTCGTAGTTTGTGATGTTTCTTGAAAAGAAATACATGATAGATAACATGTTTCTCATGCCAAATCTTGAATCAGAAACAAAGGTGTTTTAAAGTGCGTTTATACATCTATAATGGCCTTGAACTTTGCTTCTACTACCGCATTCAAAGATTAAACTAGATGGTCCTCTTACCAAAATCTTCATTTCTTGTTCACAAGCATCACAAATAGGTGTTTTTGGCAAAATCCTACAAATTGTAAATATAAAAAACACTGTAAATCAGACTGTAATGCAACCTCAGAAAGTGATCCAAAATTAAACGTCATTTTTCTAAGAAAATTAATTCAACTTTAACTTTTTTTATTTACAATAATATTATTTTTGTAATTGTCATATGTTTTAATAATCTATTTAATATCGATATAACGATTGAACTAATCGATGTATCGATTAAAAGTACTCATTCGATAGGAGTGCCAACAGATATGGAAGTGTACCCAACAATCGTTGCATTTGCGATTCATTAAACCGGTTAAGTAAGGCACAACGTTTTTAATCTCACTTGGTTTAAATGTGCTAACAAAACTTAATCGGAAATGGTTGCGGCATTTGTAAACAACTTTTAATGTAAACATATCAGTGACAGCTAGAAGTGAGAACTAACCCAAACAGCTGATCGTTATATCATAAAATGTAATAGTAAACATTGGGAGAAAATTTGACAAAAATCGAACAAAATTGGGTTTTTGATGGTTCGTTATTTTGTTTTCAAAGAAGCGAGGCCACGTTTTTATAGCCAAAGACACTCTCACCAATCCGGTAAACAGAAAAATGATACAGAACAAAAAACTGCATGCAATGTACAGACAAAACGGTACTTTCCTGTTAAAGGGAACATTCATTATTATCGATTATTTTTTTCTCGATATATCGATATTAACAAATTGAAACATATCAGCTGACAATTACGAAAAATATTGTTCAGTACGGTATCAACAAACACTAATGAAATTAAACTGTTCTAAAATAAATAACCTAACATAACTAACCAAACTTGCTGTAACATTTAAAAATTCCGCGTTTATAACTTGCTTTTTATATTCAAACCCAAACGGAATTTTTAAATGGTACAGCAAGTATGGTTGGTTATGTTAGGTTAGCTTAGAACAGTTTCATTTCTTGTTGTCAATTTGTAATGGATTGGAAAACAAAAACATCGATATATCGAGAAAAAAATCATCGATAATAATGAATGTTCCCTTTAACAGGAAAGTACCGACAAAACTGTAATTGTATTTATATAGATTACTTTGGCATAGTAACCAGCAACTTTCGGACGTTCTTGAAGCACGCTGCTGAATCACGAATCAACAATAACTATAATTATTTTAGGACTTATCAGCAACTTTAATGATACGTAGCTCAAGTTTTATTGCAGTTATTTAATAGGTGTGCTCTTAAAAAGTAGAAATTTTAAGCTTTCATATGAGATAAAGATCGTTTAAATCACTTAAGTTCAAGATTATGTATTACTGATAGTCAAAGGTATACTCAATCAAAAATATAAATTTGGTTTATTACTCGGATATGGAATTTAATTTGAGATGTATTCACTCAATTTTAATTACTTTATTCTATATGTTTTGATCCAAGAACCTTCAGTGAAATACCAGCTTTTATTTACGTTATTGATTATGATTAATAAGACCGGACATACTTAAAGCATACTGAATCACATACTGAGCTGAATCACAAACAACCTAAATTGTTCCAAATATTTAGTTATTTATCATCGATTAATAGTTACATGTTTTTGCTTTAAACCCCGACAGTAACCGTCAATTTACAAGGGTTTCGCCTCGTTTTAATAGTAATTTCATTGTATGGAAGATGAAATATGTAATGTATAAATTTACATAATAATATATTATATTAAACAAAATTGTATTGACTTGAAAAGTAAACTGTTTTGTAAAGAGTTAAATTTTAACCTCATAAACATCAATACATAAATAATCCTTCATTGAAAATGATTTTTATACAACTATCAATTATAATAAATACACATAGATAAAAACAGTCAGTTTTACTCATTCTTTCATTCAGATACTTTTATTCACACAAATCAATCATATACAGGGTGTTTGTGAACTCTCTCGAAAAAATTCACAGGATTATTCCTTGGGTTAATACATGAATATTTTACATTATAAACATGGGTCGCCGGAGCCTCGTTTTCCGTCTGTCTGTCTGTATGTGATTTTTATAAATAACTTTATAACTCGAGTTTGAATCGAGGTACAAACTTTAAATTTGATACACTTATGTATTTTAACGTGTTACACAAACATGCAAAATTTCATTTCGTTGACTATAGCCGTCTCAAAATGGCGGCCATCTAAGATCTTTGACCTCAAATTACATGAAAACCACTAGAGTTACAAAAAAAAAACACAAGAATAACGAAATTTAGGAAATTTTATGCCAAATCAAATGACACCTAGATATTAAAGATCGGACAACAAACAGCTGAGTTATATTTTTTTTAAATAATTAATAATTTCTTTACTGGCTTTTAATTGTTATTGTTTATTCTTTAAAATCATCTGATACAGAGTACATTACGTAACCTTAAACAGATCTTAATACAGTAGACTCCCTCTCGTTCGGCCTCGGTTGGTTCGGCCTCCGGATGGTTCGGCCGGCCGCCTGGATAGAGTTTTTTTAAATTGTGTATCTATAAAACGGAAGCAGATAAGAATCTGACTTCCGTTTTAGCTCTAGTTCACTGCACACGTGTTCACTGTTCAGTACAGTACCGGACGTTCGTGTGTGTACATTAGTTGTTGTGACTTAGTGAACTGATTTAATTGTGTTTTGTTAACTGAACTTTAACTTATAAGTGACTGTACGTACTTTACATTATTATGAGTGCTAAACGAAAACGTACATTTGTGACAATGCAACAGCGGTTGCAAGCTCTAGAGAGAATAGACAAAGGTGAATCGGTCCAAAGTATTTGTACAGATTTGGGGGTTGGTAAAAGCACCGTGAATGACTGGCGTCGAAACCGAAAATCGATCGAGGATTTTTGTACGCAGATTGAATCGGAAAAAGCTCTTTCATCACGTTGCACTTTAAAAAAACCTAAAAATGAATTGGTGAACGATGCTCTTTGGGTGTGGTTTATGCAGGAACGAAGAAGGGGAACGCCGATCAGTGGCCCTATCTTAAAGGAGAAGGCGGTTATCTTACATGGGAAACTTGGTGAGGAGGGGGAATTTGTCGCAAGTGAGGGATGGCTTTCCCGTTGGAAAAAAAGACACGGGGTACATTTTCTTGGGGTGTGTGGCGAAAAGCTGTCGGCAGACCCTGCTGGTGCAGCTGAGTTTACAAAGAAATTTGAGCAAATTATTGCTGAGAATAACCTAAGCCCGGAACAGGTTTATAATATCGATGAAACAGGGCTGTACTATAAACTCTTGCCACGGAAAACATTTGCTGCAGCAACAGAAATGTCTGCCCCTGGGTTTAAGGTCAGTAAAGATAGGATCACAGTGGCACTTTGCTCCAATGCTTCAGGTACGCATAAATTGCCCCTTTTTGTAATCGGAAAATCAGCAAAACCGAGAGCATTCAAAAACTTGGACGTATCAAAACTACCAGTGTACTACCGGGCTCAGAAGTCTGCTTGGATGGACTCGTATTTGTTTAAAGAGTGGTTTATTAGTGAGTTCGTGCCTAAAGTAAAAAGTCGTTTGATGAGTTTAAAACTCCCTGTAAACGCACTTCTTGTTCTTGACAATGCGCCTACCCATCCGGATGAGTTAGAATGTGATGGCGAGTCTGGAATAAAACTGTACTACCTGCCCCCCAACGTAACAAGCCTCCAACAGCCAATGGACCAAGGGGTAGTAGAGTGTTTCAAGAGAAAGTATCGTCGAAAGCTTCTTTCAGAAGTTTTGTACAAACTGGATAGCGACGAAAACACCGATCTCATCAAGGTTTTAAAGACAATCAACATGAAGGACGTGATTTTCATGGTAGCGAAGGCCTATGACGAAGTACAACCTTCAACATTAGTTAAGTCGTGGAGAAAGGTATGGCCGAATGTTGAAGAAGTTGTTGCAAGTGAAGGCAATGTTGTTGATGTGCACAGCCTTGAAAGTGAAGCAGACGACCAAGCTTACATCCTAAATAATTTACAGCAATTGCCTCACAGTGAAAATGTTGAGCTTGAAGATGTTTTGGAGTGGGTATCTGTTGAAAAGGAGGTGGACAATGAAATTTTGAACGACGAAGAAATCGCTCAATCAGTTTTACAGCGTCAAGAAACCCAAGAAGGAGAAGAAGAAGAAGGTGGCGACCGTGATGAGGACGACGAGTGTAAAATGAGTCACGCAGAGGGAATGGCAGCCCTGCAACTGGCTACAACCTACATCGAACAGCAGACGAGTTCTACAGCAGTTGACTTAATGCTTTTTAGAAAATGGCGTGACTATGCTAGAAAGAAATCAACTGAAGAAAAGGTACAGCGAAAAATTACTGATTTCTTTTAAACTTTGTCATTACAGTGCAGTACTGTAGTTTAAACATCATTCCTGTAAAATTTCAGTGTTGTGTGGATTCTTTTTTATTGTATTTAGGCCTACATTATTTATGTTTATTGTGTGTGAAATAAATTAATAATGTCAGTACAGTGTCAAGTGTTCAGTACGTGTTTTCAATAAACAATACCAACATTTCTGAGGGTAAGTTTAAAATCTACACTTAGCCTAAGCCTAGTCTTATTAATTAGGTTTAGTTTAGTGTATAGATCCCTTATACTGTACAGTAAGTCCATTTACGGCAGAAAATAGTAGTCTTCTTTATATATCATCGGTTAGTTCGGCCATTTTTTAGTTCGGCCGGTGGTTCGGTCCCGAGATGGCCGAACGAGAGGGAGTCTACTGTACTTAATGTAAAAATAGGACACTTAATACATTTACCATCTAGTAAAAAAACTAAATGTTGTTGTTAGGGTAAACCAGCTGTCTTACATTGTTGTGACAATTTAGAAAGGATCAGATGATTTTAAAGAATAGACTATAACAATTAAAATCCAGTAAAAAAATTATTAATTATTTTAAAAATGTATAACTCAGCTGTTTGTTGTCCGATCTTTAAAATCTAGGTGTCATTTGATTTGGCATAAAATTTCCTAAATTTTGTTATTCTTGTTTTTTTTTTTTTGTAACTCTAGTGGTTTTCATGTAATTTGAGGTCAAAGATTTTAGATGGCCGCAATTTTGAAACGGCTATAGTCAACGAAATGAAATTTCGCTTGTTTGTGTAACACGTCAAAATACACAATTGTGTCAAATTGAAAGTTTGTACCTTGATTCAAACTCGAGTTATAAGGTTATTTATAAAAAACACATACAGACAGACAGACGGAAAGCGAGGCTCCGGCGACCCATGTTTATAATGTAAAATATTCATGTATTAACCCAAGGAATAATCCTGTGAATTTTTTCGAGAGAGTTCACAAACACCCTGTATAATTATTGGACATCTCTAAACACCATTCATAAAGTACTTTACTTAACAAACAAACATTCTATCTTTAGCAAACACACACACACACACAAACTGTGGGAGTTGTGTAGTTTTGTTAAATGGTCACAGAATTCTTTTTTTTTTCAATTACATAATAATCCAGGTTAGAACCAAGCTGTTCCACTAATCATCGACTTCTGCTATAAGCTATTTAGTAATGAGCTTTTGGTCGTGGTTGTTTGTGTATATCAAATGAAATACGACCAAATAAGTAAAAGAAAAGTAGTTTAATAAGAGAGTTAAATTTTTGTGTACATTCCTGTAGACAAACAAAAACCAGACTAAATCAAATCATAATTGGTTGCTATGACGACGTCATCAGCTGACGCTACACCAGCCCCCCACGGAGAAAAGGAATCTATACATCATTCTGAAAAGTAACCCTTGATCGGATTTGTCTTCCAGAACGAGTTGTATAAGACTTCGTAGGTGGAGTCCAAACGTTTCGTCGGCTCAGGAATAGGATTTTCATCTGCTACAATATAGGCTGGCTACCCTGTCCAAAGATACCTTAGTTTCTTGGCCTCTTACAATGATGGTAATTGTCTTTTCGTCACGGCATATGACGTTGTAAGGACCAGAATATGGAGCCTGTAAAGATTTTCTTAAGCTGTCTTGTCGGAGGAATACAAAGTCACAAGTGTTAAGTTCTTGAACACAAACGACCCTGGTTTAATGTGGCGTGATGCGGGTGTAGGTCTTAGTCGATTCATATGCTTACGCAGCCCTGATACCAACCCTTGTGGCTCGTTGCTCTCGTGGGAAGGTACTACGAAAAACTCTCCCGGAAGACGCAGTGGTTCTCCGTACACCAGTTCAGCTGATGAAGCAGTGATGTCCTCCTTGAAAGCAGATCTTATTTCGAGAAGGACAAAGGGAGGACTTCGGTCCAGTCTGATTTGCTGTGAGCCATTATAGCGGCTTTCAACTGGCGGTTGAGTCTTTCAATCATACCGTTGGCTTGTGGATGCCAGCTGGTAGTGAACTGGAGCTTTATGCCCAACTGTCGCGCTAGGTCTTTAAACAAAGTCGATGTGAACTGGGATCCACGATCACATGTCAACTTTTGTGGGCATCCAAATCGAGCTATCCAAGGAGAGACAAACGCTCGAGTAACAGATTCGGCAGTTATTTGATCAATAGGACAAATTTCAGGCCAACGAGTAAATCTATCTATGATAGTTAGACAGTACCTAGAAGACTTTGATAGGGGAAGTGGGACAATTAGGTCAATGTGGACATGGGAAAAACGTTCTGTAGGTGTATGAAAATCACCAAGAGGGGTAGAAACATGTCTAGTTGTCTTAGATCTTTGGCATGAGAGGCAAGATTGAGTCCATTTGTGGCAATCCTTACGAAAGGAAGGCCAGACAAAACGATCGCAGATAAGTTTTGTTGTGGCACGTATTCCAGGATGACTCAGCTTGTGGAACTGGTCGAAAACTCTACGTCGCAGTTCTGATGGCACAAAGGGTCTAGGAGTTCCTGTTGAGGTGTCACAGATAAGGCTCAAATGGGTTCCAGGAATTGGAACTTACTCCAATCTAAGAGACGTAGTACTTTCTGAAATGAGATTTTGAAGTTCTTCGTCTGACTCTTGCGACTTGGCTAAGGATTCGTGATCTAAAACAATTGAAATGGCTTCAACACGTGACAAAGCATCAGCAACTATATTTTGTGAGCCACTGATGTGCTTTATGTCTGTCGAAAACTCAGAGATAAATGAAAGTTGGCGTAACTGGGCTGTAGGCAACTTGTCACGGCGCTGTTGAAAGGCATAAATAAGTGGTTTATGATCGGTGAATATAGTGAAAGAAGTTGTTTCCAAGAGATGACGGAAATGCTGCACAGCTTCATAAATAGCGAGGAGTTCTCTGTAGTATGCAGGCCAGACGCACTGTTTGGATGATAGTTTCTTGGAGAAAAAACCTAGAGGTTGCCAAGAGTCATCGACAAACTGTTGGAGGCAAGCACCTACACTTACTTACTCCAGAGGCGTCAGTAAAGAGACCAAGAGGAGCATCAGGTTTAGGATGAAACAATAGTGTTGCTGATGATAAGCTAGCCTTGCATGCTTGGAAAGCTTCTTCTGTCTCTGGAGTCCAGGGCACAGGAAGGGAACCTTTTGAATCAGCGTCACTAAGTAGGGAGTGCAGAGGTGCTTGAAATTCAGCGGCCTTAGGCAGAAACCTTCGATAAAAGTTCATAATTCCCAAGAATCTGCAAAGACCACGCATTGTCTGAGGTAACTGGTAGTCTTGTAGAGTAGTGACTCTCTCCTGAGGTGGACGTGTCCCAGCAGATGAGACTAAATAACCTAGAAATTTAACTTCTGGTACACCAATTACACATTTAGATGCATTTACAACTACTCCATAGTCAGAAAGTCGTTCAAACAACATTCTTAGGTGTTCTTTATGTATTTCTTCAGACTGGGAAAATACTAAAATGTCGTCAATACAGGGTGATTTGTACTCAGTGTGACAAAATTTTTGTGGTGTAAGTACAAAGTAAATGAAGTGTGATGATGCATATCAAATGTTCCAAGTCTAAAAATTAGCTTCCCAAAAAATTATTTTATGTTTTTCAAAAATAACCATGTTTTTAAACTTAATACAGCGATTTCTCAATTACCTGTATATGGATTTGAGTAGATAATGTAATTTTCGTGTTCTACATTAAATTTTGAACAAGAATAATAGAAAATGACGGAGGATCAGTTGTAAAAACTCCATTGTAAATAGATTCAAAGATAAAAATTAATATGTTTGATAAAAATTTAAAAAACAATGGTCTATTGCATTTTATTGCATATGAAATAAGGACATAATGAATTTTCAATGATAAAACTGAAAAGATTTGGTTTACATTGCAGTGTATTTTTTTCTTTCTATACATAAATATTAGCAAAAAACCAGTAACTTCAGCTATAGCTTCTTTGAAAATGCTTAGTCAGAAGGGAATATACTGTATTTCCCCCATGCAGTAAATTAGCATATCTACCTGTTGTTTTCCATTGGATTCTTCTTTAAGTCTGCTCAATCAACGGTACCTTTCAAAACGTTTCCTCCATCTTGTCCATTCACTTGGGTTGAAGGTAAAAGGTTGAGGTGGTTATATCACTCAACGTTGCCATCATCATTTTATAGGACGACAACTTGTATCTTAAAGTTCCTGCAAAACCATCATCAATCAACTAACACATCAAGTACGGTTGTCTTTGATGGTTATAAGAAACAAATCGGAGTTTATCAAGGTTCAATTTTATTTAATTCTTAATATCTCTCTTTTATATTATAAAAATATATTATGAAAAACAAAACAGTAATTTTCTTACAAAACTCATTTACATAAAAAGGATGTTAGACCCATTAAATTTGCATAAACTAAAATGAGGAATTGAAAACAAGGTCTTAGCTTTTACAACAAACAAACTAGAAGCAATGAAATCCCTAGTGACCCGTTGGTAAATGTTGAAGTATTTTCAGTCTGCAGTTTTGTTGTGAAGATAAAAATTGTTAAAATTTAATTATTTACTATTCAACATGTTATATTGAAGAGTTAATCCACTAGTAATACTTTATTTATTTTTATAAAAATTGCTAAATATCATACGATTTGAATAAAAAAAAAATATAATGCATGAAATAAGTACCAATAGTATGCATATTTGAAAATCTTTCTACAACTTTTGTCGGCTAAACTATACAGGGTGGTAAAAAAAGTCCCTGGACAGTTAAATATTAAAAGAAATAATGCAGATAGAGCTACAATACTTGGTACAAAGTTACAGGGCATAAAACTATATTTTAACACATATTCAGTGATCCAATAACTCTTTAGGGGGACGGCCCACAAGGAGTCGGAAGAAAATCTTAAATGGAAGCATAGGTCAATATGCACATCAAATTAAAGGTATTCTTTAGTAGAATACAATGCCGCAAACAGCACTTCAAAAGGT